TTCAGCAGATTATTTTTTAATCAACCAATCAGGATCGCCGGTGTTACGTGAGGTTTGCACCGCCTTCTCAAGCAGGGTCTCACACAGCAGCGAAAGCAAACCAAGATGGCGGAAATAACGTCTGTGAATTTTTTTTAACGTTTAAATACGAACGAATCAAGACACGGATGTCACTTTTAATGCAATATGAGGCGAGATGTTGATGGTTCCATGTTGATGGTTCCATGTTGTTATATGTATGTTTTAAGAGTCAAATGTTCATTTAAAGTTTGGTTTAAGCACTGGTTTAAGTGTTCCTGTTTACAACACAGCAGAGACTAAGAGACTTGTAGGTAATAAATAAACAGAGAGACAATAAACACAATTATGACAGTCTAAGTTGATTACATTACATTTTTAGCCAAAAAATCATTCTGGGTGTTTTTTTTGGGGCATTATCGCGGGTTTTGGGCTGGAAAATTCTTGGCGGCATTTAATTTAATCGTAACTTTTGATTTCAAAGCAGACTTGGAGTCAAAACACTGAGAGAAATCTTCAGACCTAAATCTAAATCTGTCAGAATCCATTCTCCAGCAACACACCATTCCACCACTTCCTTCATGTTTGGGGAGAGAAAGTAAAACCCAAACGGCTTTAAACATGTGTCTGATGAGCAGAGAGCCGCAGGGAGCCGCAGGGAGCCGCAGGGAGCCGCAGAGAGCCGCAGAGAGCCACAGAGAGCCGCAGACAGAGGCACTGACCTTTTCCACAAAGTCACTCCAGGTCCAGAGACTCCAGACTGCGGCTTCTGTCGGAGCTTTTCCACTCCACTGAAGCATCTCTGCGTCAGCCAATCACAGCGCACCTCTGCACCCAGTCAAGACCCAGCTCGTTTGATTTTGAGAAAGTGTCCGAAAAAACCTATTTATCAGACTGCTAAAGAGTAGAGATGTGGAGAGAAAGGTGCAAAAGGATAAATAATAATAATAATGCATTGGTTTTATCCAGCGCTTTTCAGGACGCTCAAATGTCATTATTCTTTCTCTCCACAGTGGTGATAAACTACTACTATAGCCACAGCTGTCCTGGGGCACACTGACAGAAGCGAGGCAGCCCGTCTGTGCAGTCGGCCTCTCCCACCACCACCAACCATTCACACACACACCAGACTCATTCTAATGTGGGGGAAGTGTCTTGCCGAAGGACACAACCACAGTTTGGCACTTTACAGCCGCAGCCGCAGCACTGTGGAGTATGAAGTAATATGTATTAACTAAATTCTGGTCTGTCTGCTCTCTCTCTTGTCTCTCTCTTGTCTCTCTCTTGTCTCTCTCTTGTCTCTCTCTTGTCTCTCACTCTGCTCTTTCTCTGCTCTCGGCTCTCTCTCGTCTGGTTTCTCTGGGCTCTCTAATCTCTCTTTCTGGTCTCTCTCTGGTCTCTCTCTAGTCTCTTTCCGCTCTCTCTGCTGTGTCTCTGCTCTCTCCCTCTCACTTTACAGAGGAGGCGGAGTCTCACACCCGCACCGAGCCGCTGTCATACTGGATCACAGCCGGATGCAATTAGTATTCTGCAGCCGAGACGGAGACGCAGCCCAGAGAAGAGAGTGGAGGACCCTGACCTCCATCCACACTTTGAAAAACTCTGGACATTCAACTGTGTGTTGAATGTCTGGTCCCTCTCTCTGGTCTCTCTCTGGTCTCTCTCTCTGGTTTCTCCCTGGTCTCTCTCTGGTCTCTCTCTGGTCACCCTCTCTCTGGTCTCTCTCTGGTCTCTCTCTCTGGTGTCTCTCTCTGGTCTCTCTCTGGTCTCTCTCTCTGGTCTCTCTCTGGTCTCTCTCTCTGGTCACCCTCTCTCTGGTCTCTCTCTCTGGTGTCTCTCTCTGGTCTCTCTCTCTGGTGTCTCTCTCTGGTCTCTCTCTGGTCTCTCTCTCTGGTCTCTCTCTGGTCTCTCTCTCTGATCTCTCTCTGGTGTCTCTCTCTGGCCTCTCTCTCTGGTCACCCTCTCTCTGGTCTCTCTCTCTGGTGTCTCTCTCTGGTGTCTCTCTCTGGTCTCTCTCTCTGGTCTCTCTCTCTGGTCTCTCTCTCTGGTCTCTCTCTCTGGTCTCTCTCTCTGGTCTCTCTCTCTGGTCTCTCTCTCTGGTCTCTCTCTGGTGTCTCTCTCTGGTGTCTCTCTCTGGTGTCTCTCTCTGGTGTCTCTCTCTGGTGTCTCTCTCTGGTGTCTCTCTCTCTGGTGTCTCTCTCTCTGGTGTCTCTCTCTGGTGTCTCTCTCTGGTGTCTCTCTCTGGTGTCTCTCTCTGGTGTCTCTCTCTGGTGTCTCTCTCTGGTGTCTCTCTCTGGTCTCTCTCTGGTCTCTCTCTGGTCTCTCTCTCTGGTCTCTCTCTCTGGTCTCTCTCTCTGGTCCCTCTCTGGTCCCTCTCTGGTCCCTCTCTGGTCCCTCTCTGGTCCCTCTCCCGTCTCTCTCTGGTCTCTCTCTGGTCCCTCTCTGGTCCCTTTCTGGTCCCTCTCTGGTCCCTCTCTGGTCTCTCTCCCGTCTCTCTCTGGTCTCTCTCTCTCTGGTCTACAATTGTGTTATGTCTTTGTGATGGTGTGTGCCTGTTGCATGTATATTGTATCTGTCTTGGTTTCAACCTGCCACGGGACAACAGATGAAAACTAGCTTACATGGCTAACTCTGGCACATTTACACGTTGAAAAAACACATGTTGATTAATGTGCACTGTCCCAAATCAGTTAAAGATTTTTCTAAAACGAGACACGGCACTAAATTGAGTATTTTAGTCGGTTTTTAACCTTTGAAGTGCTAAAAATGGCTAAAAAAAGACTTGAAATACAGAATTACAGTTTGTTTGAAGCAGGGGTCTCCAACCTGCGGCTCGGGAACTACCAGTAGCTACCCACCCCCTTTCAGGTAGCTCCCCAAAGTATTCAATGAGGACAAACAGATGAGCCACCTGCACTGGCTCCTCTCAATGTGGAGATGCAGCGGCTCTACTCCGAGCCCCTCATGTGTCTGAGCACCTCACCCCCACTCTGCAGTTGTTTTAAACACAAAATATTTTAACAGCAAAAGGTATATTGGAGGATTTCTCCCAAATTTTAGGAAACAACCTCCATCTCCACTTTTTGAACAAATCTCTCTGGTCTTGTTTGACGAGCATATATCACCAGAATGATTGACAGTTGGGAGAACCAATAGTCTCGATGATCCAAGTAGACAATCCTCCTAAATACATTAAATTTAGCAGGTTTTGGCTTAGATTATGCACTTTAGGGACGATGGCTCAGCGTTGGTCTCTGTCATCTGCTCCCACTGTGTCCCTGGGCAGAACACAACCCCACTTTGCCTGAAGCCCCCGCTGAAACACCAAGCACCCCCCCTCCGCCCCCGGTCCCCCCCAACCCAGAAATGGACTAACGATGAGGATGAAAATGAATGAATGAAGCTTTGAGAGGCTCCTTCAACACGCTGTGATTGAATGTTTCCAGCCACAGAGAGGGCAAACACAGAGGTGAGAGAGAGGTGAGAGGGGGGGAGAGAGAGGGGGGGGGGGGGGGGGGGGAGGGGGGGAGAGGGGGGGAGGGGGGCACAGGACAGAACCGTGTTTGGACAGATGGAGGCTGTGAGAGCGTTTCAGCCGGAGAGCTCCACACTGTCAACACACTCTCACTGGAAAAGTCTCTCTGTTTGTTCAGCTTCTTCACACTGTCAGGCTTCCAGAGACACACACACACACACAGAGAGAGAGACACACACACATACACACAGACACACACAGAGAGAGAGAGACACACACACATACACACAGAGACACACATACAGAGACACACACACACAATACACACAGATACACAGACACACACACATACAGAGACACACACAGAGAGACACACACACAGACACACACGTTTTTGTTACCTGGTGGGTCCCTTTGACAGGGCCGTTCAGAATGGGACCCATAGACATAATCTTTTTTTACTGGGACTACTTTAAGTAATACAAAACAGTCAATAGAAAACAAACAACTCTTTTAAAGGAATTTTATTTTAGATATTTTTTTCGAATTGCAGTGATTCTATTTTTGACATAGAATTTAATGCCACTCCATGTCCGATGTCTAAGGTCATCTGGTGAGGCATTAATGCAGGCCAGGCCAGGCCAGGCCAGGCCAGGCCAGGCAGTGAGACTTCCCAGGGACTTTTCCAGTCTGTATGAAAGGCGTCATGGTCTTCTCCACAGCCTTCACCTCAGATGCAGACCATGGCTTTCTTACACGTTCTAGGGAGAGAAATAAAAATATATTAGCAATATACACTCCCAGGGTTAGGACCAAGCAGCCTAGCTGTAATCCCCCACCTGGTACACTTACCAGAAGGGGCACTGCCACTACCATGGGGTGCATCTGGATGAATGGTTGAAGGTTCTCCGCTTGAAGTTTCTTTTAGCCCGTCCGTTTGTGAGAGGATCTCTACTGCTCTCCCTGTCGCACAGAAAATAAAAATACAAGTGGCCTTTAGGGGAAAAAAATCATACATATTTTAATAATATCAAGAATTACCTTCAGGCTCAATTTGTATCTGGTCGAGGCTCTTTCCTTCGAATTCCGTCACTCTTCCCTGCTCCATGGCCATCAACACTTTGCTGATTTTGGCCAGCTCCAGTGTCCCCTCTGGTAGTCTGTTAAGAAGGCAGATCCGAACTACTGTTCCAACCTTAGAATCCAAGCTCCAGCCAGAGTGGCCAGATCTTCAGCTTGTGAGATTAACTGACAAGACATCAAAAGAGAACTATGAACGCACATACAACAACAGGTATGGTGCTAAACCACTAACAGAACTTCACCACACCAGGATTAAGTGTTGCAGTGAAACTGGACAGTGAAAAGGGTTGGACAAAACCAGCTACTGTCCTACAAAAATGTGACTCCCCAAGGTCATACTTTGTACAGACTGAGAGTGGAGTGCTGAGGAGGAATCGTCGACACCTGAGGCCCATCCTCAGTGATCCAGCTACACCTGCAAAAGATGGACTACAACAGGCGGAGCCTGAAAGAGAACCACATTTGTCTCCGTCACCTGAAGGTCCAGCGCCTGATCCACCTGGGACTCCAGTTCGCACAACCTTTAGGGGTAGAGTGGTGAAACAACCAAGCAGATATGCAGACTATGTGAAATAAATGAAGAGCTATTGAGCCTTTGTTGACAGTGTTTGGAGTTCCTGCTAAGCATGAGTAATGTTATTATGCTGAATGTTCTATTGCACTAATATGCTGCATTTATTTTGTTTAACGTTGGCTGAAGGTTGTATGCAGATTTGTAAGATGCATAATTTAGAATGTTTCCACTTACAGCACTAGTATACTGCTGGAATGTCTTAAAAGACTCAAAGAAAGGGTGATGTAATGTGATGGCTCTATTTTATGTGTAATGTTATTGAAGCAGTGATGTGGCTGAGGGATATAAAAGCTGCTTCCGGTTTAACACATGTGTTCTGACGCTGTACGACTGATGCATGACCGGTGTTATGTTCGACATTAAAGCCGATAAACTTATTGGTGTTCCTCCTGACTTTGCATAACACTACACTGTTCTCAGGTCAAATATATATATATATATATATATACAATTAAAATGCGATTAATCGAGATTAATTAATTACAATGCCTCTAATTAATTATATTAATTTTTTTAATCGAGTCCCGAATCTAAGATTCCATCCATCCATCCATTTTCTTCCCCTTAAAGACCTTATGACGGGTTTGATTTATTTAGAAATACAGTTTTAATACCATTTTATATTAGAAGATAACTACTAAAGGTTTCAAAATCAGTTGTTTTTTTTGTCTGATCCCCCCAAATCGAAATAACCCCATAGCAACGCCCTTAGAAACGAAAAAAACTTGGTGTTTCAACGCTGTAAGTTGTTTACAATTTGGTATTCGTTCTTTTTTCGCGGATATTCAAGATCACAAGGTTGTGTACAGCGAGTCTGACATAAATACTAGAATGTCACATTTTGTTGTCACTGAGATAGTCCAGTGGTTGTGTCGATGGACTGTTAATCCAGATACTTGGGTTCAAATCCCACCTCGGACACTTTTTCTCAAAACGGCAATTTATGTGTAGTGAGCAATTGTCACCTGTAGAGGGCAGTATTGTGTTGGGCATCAGTGGAGAGAAGAGAGAAAAGGCAGTCCTGTGGCATAGATCCATGGTTTTCAATGCATGGGCGTTACCCGCTGTGACGTCACACACAGGTTAGAGCATAGACAGCTTAAATTCATAAAAAACACGTTCTTTTTATAAAATATAGGATTTTTTTTGCCGGAATCTCTTTCAAATTGACATTGTCATGCAATTTTGATATCCACTATTTTTTTTTAAAAAACCCGTCATAATGTCTTTAATCCATTTCTGGGTCGGGGGGTGGCAGTCAGAGCTGCACCCAGTGCACAGAGCACCAGCCCCTCACTGATCCTCCTGCAGGTGGTGAGTCCACAGGAGCCGAATGACATGGGCCGGGACGTGATTAAAAAAATAATATAATTAATTAGAGGCATTGTAATTAATTACATTTTTTTAATCGCGTCCCGGCCCTTATATATATAATCTTAGATTCGGGACTCGATTAAAAAAAAAAAAGTCTAATTAAGTAGGTGCATTGTGATTAATTAATCACAATTAATCGCATTTTAATCGCCTGTAAATGAGAACAGTGAGACATGGAGTTTTAGTTTACCGTTCAATAATGACTGAATACATAAGCTTAAATAACACATGTTCATTGTGGAGGATCAGACGCAATAACGTATCTGTCATTGCCTCCACACACACTGACCACAACATACACTTTGTATAACAAATCTATTTGTCTGATTTCACCACAGATAACATCTGACACTGATGACTTTATGAAACACAGTATTTACTCAAATTAGACGTTTTTAATTCTATCACGCACGCACACACAGACACACATGTACACACACAGAGACAGGCACATGCACGTATACGCGCACAGAGACAGACGGGTGCAGCCGCGGTCCCGCGGATCACAAAGCAAACTGTGTCAAAGCGACGCTCTGAACTACAACATGGATCTATAATAATAACATGCACCACGCTCTGAACTACAACATGGATCTATAATAATAACATGCACCACGTCTCTGAAGCCTCAGTGAACGGCACTCGCTGCAGCCGCTTCGGGAGCGAACGTCACTGCACATGGCACCAACGCATGCATTAAAAACTAACTCTCACACGCACATGGCACCAACACACGCATTAAAAACTAACTCTCACACGCACATGGCACCAACACACGCATTAAAAACTAACTCACACGCACATGGCACCAACACACGCATTAAAAACTAACTCTCACACGCACATGGCACCAACACACGCATTAAAAACTAACTCACACGCACATGGCACCAACACACGCATTAAAAACTAACTCTCACACGCACATGGCACCAACACACGCATTAAAAACTAACTCACACGCACATGGCACCAACACACGCATTAAAAACTAACTCTCACACGCACATGGCACCAACACACGCATTAAAAACTAACTCTCACACGCACATGGCACCAACACACGCATTAAAAACTAACTCTCACACGCACATGGCACCAACACACGCATTAAAAACTAACTCGCACACGGCACCAACACACGCATTAAAAACTAACTCTCACACGCACATGGCACCAACACATGCATTAAAAACTAACTCTCACACGCTTTGGAGCTTGCTCATGTTCCACACAAACATGTGCGCGGGTGTTTCATGTTATCTTTCATTGTGGCGCGGCTTTTCCCGACAGCTGCTTTACCAACAGCTATCGTAATGCATCATGGGATCACCCTCGCTCGCAAGTGGGCTCCGGACCTCACGTGCACTCAAGGGTGGTTTTTAGGGGTGTGAAGGCCCTCGCCTCTTCTCCCTAAGTATTGGGACACCCTTGCACTCCCGAGGCTCAAAGGGACTTTAACCCCGAGACTTTCTCAAAGGGACTTTAACCCCGAGGCTCAAAGGGACTTTAACCCCGAGACTTTCTCTCAAATACAATTTAGAGAGTTTGACAGACCCCAAAAACAGACCAAAATTTAGCTAATATCCAATTATGCAGACTTTACATATTAAAAAAGGTGTCTGCTTACCTTATTCTTGTCAAACAGGATCCAAGGACTGTCCGAGAGGTCTGCCAACTCTTTTCCGCGTCGGAAAATTCAATTTAAACACAAAACAGAGAAAGTGAGGGAGCAAGAGCAAGCCCATCCAAAAGCGAGCCCTTTCAGCGTCCACTGGGATTTCTCCCCTTCCAGATAACGTGCTGTTGCTCCCACACGCCGAAAAAAAGAAACAGAGGAAATTCCCTCAAAACAATCCAGAGAATGGCACACACGGAGCCGCGCATTCTCCACCAAATCTGTTAGGATTTAAGCAGACAGAGACGGATCGTGGTGTGCCAAACTCTGGAAGTTTATTTAAGGTTCTCTCTCAAGTTCCACTGGTTTACTCTGTTTCTTTCCCTCAGACAGAATAAAGGCAGTACACAGTTTATATAGTCATTGTCACGTCACACATCGAAAGACATACGTGTCACAAAGAGACAGTCACATCATAGTCATAACATGGAGTCCTTGTAGAGTCCTTGTACAGTCCTGCACGTAGGCCATATTGCTATCTAATACTAACAATAATAATAATAATAATAATTAAAAAATGACAAATAATAATAATAATACACTGTACTTATGTATATGTATTATTATTATTATTTGGCCTCTGTCACAACTTTAGATCAACTTTTCTCTGACAGAAAAGCGAAAGCAGAGAGAGAGAGAGAGAGAGAGAGCGTAGAGAGATACCCGAGAGAGAGAGACCCGAGAGAGAGAGACCCGAGAGAGAGAGAGAGTAGAGAGAGACCCGAGAGAGACTAATGACAGATAGATCTGTCTGTGTCGTGTCTGTCTGTCTGTCTGTCCGTGTCTGTCTGTGTCTGTCTGTCTGTCTGTCCGTGTCTGTCCGTGTCTGTTCGTGTCTGTCTGTCTGTGTCTGTCCGTGTCTGTCTTTCTGTCTGTCTGTCCGTGTCTGTCTGTCTGTCTGTCCATGTCTGTCTGTCTGTCTGTCTGTCTGTCCGTGTCTGTCTGTCTGTCTGTCTGTCTGTCCATGTCTGTCTGTCTGTCTGTCTGTCTGTCTGTCCATGTCTGTCTGTCCGTGTCTGTCTGTCCGTGTCTGTCTGTCTGTCTGTCTGTCTGTCTGTCTGTCCGTGTCTGTCTGTCTGTCTGTCTTCTGTCTGTCCATGTCTGTCCGTGTCTGTCTGTCCGTGTCTGTCTGTCCATGTCTGTCTGTCGTGTCTGTCTGTCTGTCCCTGTCTGTCTGTCTGTCTGTCTCTGTCCGTGTCTGTCTGTCTGTCCATGTCTGTCTGTCTGTCTGGTGTCTGTCTGTCTGTCGTGTGTCTGTCCATGTGTCCGTCTGTCTGTCTGTCTGTCTGTCCGTGTCTGTCTGTCTGTCTGTCTGTCTGTCTGTGCTGTCTGTCTGTCCGTGTCTGTCCGTGTCTGTCTGTCTGGCTGTCTGTCCGTGTCTGTCTGTCTGTCTGTCTGTCTGTCCATGTCTGTCCGTGTCTGTCTTTCTGTCCGTGTCTGTCTGTCTGTCGGTCTAATCCCTTGTGTTGTGTTGCAGTGGGCTCCAAGGACCCGAAGATCCAGCTGTGTGACATGAAGTCTGGTTCAAAGATCCACGTTCTTCAGGGTGAGAGAGAGAGAGAGAGAGCGCAGAGAGAGGAGAGAGAGAGAGTGCAGAGAGAGAGAGGAGAGAGGAGAGAAGCAGAGAGAGAGAGAGAGAGAGCGAGGGAGAGAGAGAAGAGAAGCAGAGAGAGAGAGCGAGGGAAAGAGAGAGAGAGCGAGCGAGCGAGAGCAGAGAGAGAGAGAGAGAGAGTGCAGAGAGAGGAGAGAGAGGAGAGAAGCAGAGAGGAGAGAAGCAGAGAGAGAGCGAGAGAGAGAGAGGAGAGAAGCAGAGAGAAAGAGCGAGAGAGCGAGGGAGAGCAGAGAGAGAGAGAGCGCAGAGAGAGGAGAGAAGCAGAGAGAGGAGAGAGAGAGAGTGCAGAGAGAGAGAGAGAGAGAGCGAGGGAGAGAGAGGAGAGAAGCAGAGAGAGAGAGCGAGGGAGAGAGAGAGAGAGAGCGAGAGAGCAGAGAGAGAGAGAGAGAGTGCAGAGAGAGGAGAGAGAGCAGAGAGCAGAGAGAGAGAGAGAGAGAGAGCGAGGGAGAGAGAGAGGAGAGAAGCAGAGAGAAAGAGCGAGGGAGAGCAGAGAGAGAGCAGAGAGAGAGAGAGCGCAGAGAGAGAGAGAGAGAGCGAGGGAGAGAGAGGAGAGAAGCAGAGAGAGAGAGCGAGGGAGAGAGAGAGAGAGAGCGAGAGAGCAGAGAGAGAGAGAGAGAGTGCAGAGAGAGGAGAGAGAGCAGAGAAGCAGAGAGAGAGAGAGAGAGAGCGAGGGAGAGAGAGAGGAGAGAAGCAGAGAGAAAGAGCGAGGGAGAGCAGAGAGAGAGAGAGAGAGAGAGCAGAGAGAGGAGAGAAGCAGAGAGAGAGCGAGGGAGAGAGAGGAGAGAAGCAGAGAGCGAGGGAGAGAGAGAGAGAGAGCAGAGAGAGAGAGAGCAGAGAGAGAGCGAGAGACCAGCGATCATGTGATGATGACGAGTCTCTCTCCTGCAGGACACAGACAAGAGGTCCTGGCCGTGCGCTGGTCCCCGAGATATGAACACATTCTGGCCAGTGCGAGGTACTCTACTCAACCCTACTCTACTCTACTCTACTCTACTCTACTCTACTCTACTCTACTCTACTCAACCCTACTCTACTCTACTCTACTCTACTCTACTCAACCTACTCAACCCTACTCTACTCTACTCTACTCAACCCTACTCTACTCTACTCTACTCAACCCTACTCTACTCTACTCTACTCTACTCTACTCTACTCTACTCTACCCTACTCTACTCTACTCTACTCAACCCTACTCTACTCTACTCTACTCAACCCTACTCTACTCTACTCTACTCTACTCTACTCTACTACTCTAACTCTACTCTACTCACTCTACTCTACTCTACTCTACTCTACTCTACTCTACTCAACCCTACTCTACTCTACTCTACTCACTCACCCTACTCTACTCTACTCTACTCTACTACTCTACTCTACTACTCTACTCTACTCTACTCTACTCTACTCTACTCTACTCTACTCTACTCTACTCTACTCAACCCTACTCTACTCTACTCTACTCAACCCTACTCTACTCTACTCTACTCTACTCTACTCTACTCTACTCTACTCAACCCTACTCTACTCTACTCTACTCAACCCTACTCTACTCTACTCTACTCAACCCTACTCTACTCTACTCTACTCTACTCAACCCTACTCTACTCTACTCTACTCTACTCTACTCTACTCTACTCAACCCTACTACTCTACTCTACTCAACCCTACTCTACTCTACTCTACTCTACTCTACTCTACTCTACTCTACTCTACTCTACTCAACCCTACTCTACTCTACTCAACCCTACTCTACTCTACTCTACTCTACTCAACCCTACTCTACTCTACTCTACTCAACCCTACTCTACTCTACTCTACTCTACTCTACTCAACCCTACTCTACTCTACTCTACTCTACTCTACTCTACTCTACTCTACTCTACTCTACTCTACTCTACTCTACTCAACCCTACTCTACCCTACCCTACTCTACCCTACCCTACCCTACTCTACTCTGCTCTCCTGATTGAGAGTCTTCCCTCTTGTTTAACCAGTACCAGGTCCTTCTTTAGTCCCTCAGTGCTTCCAAGCCCGCCACCACTTTGTTGTGGGGAGGTTGCTAGGATACAGTACTAGATCCAGAGAGAGAGACCAGAGAGAGAGACCAGAGAGAGACCAGAGAGAGACCAGAGAGAGACCAGAGAGAGACCAGAGAGAGACCAGAGAGAAACCAGAGAGAGACCAGAGAGAGACCAGAGAGAGACCAGAGAGAGACCAGAGAGAGACCAGAGAGTGAGACCAGAGAGTGAGACCAGAGAGAGACCAGAGAGAGACCAGAGAGAGACCATAGAGAGACCAGAGAGAGACCAGAGAGAGACCAGAGAGAGACCAGAGAGAGAGACCAGAGAGAGAGACCAGAGAGAGACCAGAGAGAGACCAGAGAGAGACCAGAGAGAGACCAGAGAGAGACCAGAGAGAGACCAGAGAGAGACCAGAGAGAGAGACCAGAGAGAGAGACCAGAGAGAGAGACCAGAGAGAGAGACCAGAGAGAGAGACCAGAGAGAGACCCGCGATAAAGTGACTGGTGAATGGCAGAAGTATCAGTATGTTTTTGTTTTCCTTCAGTGTTAATGTAGGAAACTTTAGAGCTAATGTTGTATAATGTTGATTACTGTGCGCTGTCCTGTTTATAAATAAATGAATAAAATAATAAAGATGTAATAATGCAGTAATAATAATAACAGGTAAAGTTATTATCAGTGACAGACTCAGCAGTACTCGTTATACAGTCTGATCCTCACACATGTAGCCTGGAGACTGGGAAGGGGATGGAGACTTTTGCAGCCTGCTCTGAGTCTGATAATTAACCCTCAGAGACGCTGCGCTCCCATTGGACGATCACTCACAACAACATCAGCTCTATTCTATTAACGCTTTAGTCTCACACAACAGAGAGAGAGAAGAGACTAGAGCGAGACCGGAGAGAGAGGGGAGACTAGAGCGAGACCGGAGACTAGAGCGAGACCGGAGAGAGAGGGGAGACTAGAGCGAGACCGGAGACTAGAGCGAGACCGGAAAGAGAGGGGAGACTAGAGCGAGAGGGGAGACTAGAGCGAGACCGGAGACTAGAGCGAGACCGGAGAGAGAGGGGAGACTAGAGCGAGACCGGAGACTAGAGCGAGACCGGAGAGAGAGGGGAGACTAGAGCGAGACCGGAGACTAGAGCGAGACCGGAGAGAGAGCAGAGACTAGAGCGAGACCGGAGCGAGAGCGGAGACTAGAGCGAGACCGGAGAGAGAGCGGAGACTAGAGCAAGACCGGAGAGAGAGCTGAGACTAAAGCGAGAGACTAGAGCGAGACCGGAGAGAGAGCAGAGACTAGAGCGAGACCGGAGAGAGAGCTGAGACTAGAGCGAGACCGGAGAGAGAGCTGAGACTAGAGCGAGACCGGAGAGAGAGGGGAGACTAGAGCGAGACCGGAGACTAGAGCGAGACCGGAGAGAGAGGGGAGACTAGAGCGAGAGGGGAGACTAGAGCGAGACCGGAGACTAGAGCGAGACCGGAGACTAGAGCGAGACCGGAGAGAGAGGGGAGACTAGAGCGAGACCGGAGACTAGAGCGAGACCGGAGAGAGAGGGGAGACTAGAGCGAGACCGGAGACTAGAGCGAGACCGGAGAGAGAGCAGAGACTAGAGCGAGACCGGAGAGAGAGCGGAGACTAGAGCGAGACCGGAGAGAGAGCGGAGACTAGAGCAAGACCGGAGAGAGAGCTGAGACTAAAGCGAGAGACTAGAGCGAGACCGGAGAGAGAGCAGAGACTAGAGCGAGACCGGAGAGAGAGCTGAGACTAGAGCGAGACCGGAGAGAGAGCTGAGACTAGAGCGAGACCGGAGAGAGAGGGGAGACTAGAGCGAGACCGGAGAGAGAGGGGAGACTAGAGCGAGACCGGAGACTAGAGCGAGACCGGAGAGAGAGGGGAGACTAGAGCAAGACCGGAGACTAGAGCGAGACCGGAGAGAGAGCAGAGACTAGAGCGAGACCGAGAGAGAGCGGAGACTAGAGCGAGACCGGAGAGAGAGCGGAGACTAGAGCAAGACCGGAGAGAGAGCTGAGACTAAAGCGAGAGACTAGAGCGAGACCGGAGAGAGAGCAGAGACTAGAGCGAGACCGGAGAGAGAGCTGAGACTAGAGCGAGACCGGAGAGAGAGCTGAGACTAGAGCGAGACCGGAGAGAGAGAGAGGGAGACTAGAGCGAGACCGGAGACTAGAGCGAGACCGGAGAGAGAGCAGAGACTAGAGCGAGACCGGAGAGAGAGCGGAGACTAGAGCGAGACCGGAGAGAGAGCGGAGACTAGAGCAAGACCGGAGAGAGAGCTGAGACTAAAGCGAGAGACTAGAGCGAGACCGGAGAGAGAGAGCAGAGACTAGAGCGAGACCGGAGAGAGAGCTGAGACTAGAGCGAGACCGGAGAGAGAGCTGAGACTAGAGCGAGACCGGAGAGAGAGCGGAGACTAGAGCGAGACCGGAGAGAGAGCTGAGACTAAAGCGAGAGACTAGCGCGAGACCGGAGAGAGAGCTGAGACTAGAGCGAGACCGGAGAGAGAGCGGAGACTAGAGCGAGACCGGAGAGAGAGGGGAGACTAGAGCGAGACCGGAGAGAGAGGGGAGACTAGAGCGAGACCGGAGAGAGAGCGGAGACTAGAGCGAGACCGGAGAGAGAGCGGAGACTAGAGCGAGACTGGAGAGAGAGCGGAGACTAGAGCGAGACCAGAGAGAGACCAGAGAGTAAGCAGAGGGTTAGCAGAGAGAGAGCTGAGACTAGAGAGGGACCAGAGAGGGACCAGAGAGGGACCAGAGAGGGACCAGGGACCAGAGTGGGACCAGAGTGGGACCAGAGAGAGACCAGAGAGAGACCAGAGTGGGACCAGAGAGGGACCAGAGAGGGACCAGAGAGGGACCAGAGAGGGACCAGAGAGGGACCAGAGAGGGACCAGGGACCAGAGTGGGACCAGAGTGGGACCAGAGAGAGACCAGAGTGGGACCAGAGTGGGACCAGAGTGGGACCAGAGTGGGACCAGAGTGGGACCAGAGTGGGACCAGAGTGGGACCAGAGTGGGACCAGAGAGGGACCAGAGAGGGACCAGAGAGGGACCAGAGAGGGACCAGAGGGGGACCAGAGAGGGACCAGAGAGGGACCAGAGAGAGACCAGAGAGAGACCAGAGAAAATCATCTCTGTTTTTAAACCCAGCATCAGGCCTTTGTTGAGTCTCGTAACAAATCCCAGCGAGTCACTGTTTGACCCTGGTGCAGGCGGGGTCTCTCAGTCTGGAGTTTGCATATTCTCCCTGTGTCTGTGTAGTTCTCCTTCAGGTGGTCTCTCTGGCATGGCTCTCTCTTTTTTCTTTAGTCTCTCCCTCTCTCTCTCTCTCTCTCGTTTTCTGGTCAGTATGTCTGTGTTTTGTATGGTTCTCACCCGTCTCTCCCTGTCTCGCCCTCTGTCTGTCTCGCCCTCTCTCTGGTCTCTCTCACTGGTCTCTCTCTCTGGTCTCTCTCCCCCTCAGTGCAGACAGTAAGGTGAAGTTCTGGGATGTGCGTCGAGCGTCTAGTTGTCTGTTTACTCTGGACCAACACAACGGAGACAAATCCAAATCCTCCACAGAAGCAGGTGACTCCAGTTCATGCGACATCACAGCTGTCTCTCTCTGGTCTCTCTCTGGTCTCTCTCTGGTCCCTCTCTGGTCCCACTCTGGTCTCTCTCACTTGTCTCTCTCTGGTCTCTCTCTGGTCTCTCTCTCTGGTCTCTCACTGGTCTCTCACTTGTCTCTCACTTGTCTCTCTCTGGTCTCTCTCTGGTCTCTCTCTGGTCTCTCTCTCTGGTCTCTCTCTGGTCTCTCTCTGGTCCCTGGTCCCTCTCTGGTCCCTCTCTGGTCTCTCACTGGTCTCTCACTTGTCTCTCACTTGTCTCTCACTTGTCTCTCACTTGTCTCTCTCTGATCTCTCTCTGGTCTCTCTCTGGTCTCTCTCTGGTCTCTCTCTGGTCTCTCTCTGGTCTCTCTCTGGTCTCTCTACATGTTGGGAAGCCTGTGTAACTCTGAGTGTGTGTGTGTGTCTGTGTGTTGTGTGCGTGTGTGTGTCTGTGTGTGTTGTGTGCGTGTGTGTGTGTGTGTGTGTGTGTGTGTGTGTGTGTGTCAGTGAACACCGCACACAATGGCAGAGTGAATGGTTTGTGTTTTAGTGCAGATGGTCTCTTTCTTCTGACGACTGGAACTGACGACCGCATGAGGCTCTGGACCAGCAGCACCGGAGACAACACTCTGGTGAGGACCAGGACCTCACTGGGACAGAGGACCAGGACCTCACTGGGACTGAGGACCAGGACCTCTCTGGGACTGAGGACCAGGACCTCTACTGACAGACACAACTGGCACTGATAGAGGACATGGTCTCTCTCTGGTCACCCTTGGGTCTCCGGTCCCTTGTCTCTCTCTCTGGTCTTACTCTGGTCTCTCTTTGGTCTCTGGAGTCTGGTGTCTCTCTGGCTTCACTCTTGTCTCTCTCTGGTCACAGGTCTCTCTCTGGTCTCTCTCTCTGCTCCCTGGTCTCCCTCTGGTCTCCCTCTGGTCCCTGGTCTCCCTCCGGTATCACTCTGGTCTCCCTCTGGTCTCTCTCTGGTCTCCCTCCGGTCTCATTCTGGTCTCCCTCTGGTCCCTGGTCTCCCTCTGGTCTCTCTGGTCTCTCTCTCTGGTCTCTCTCTCTCTCTCCCTCTGGTCTCCCTCTTGTTTCTTTCTGGTCTCCCTCTGGTCTCCCTCTGGTCTCCCTCTGGTCTCTCTCTGGTCTCTCTCTGGTCTCTCCCTGGTCTCTCTCTGGTCTCTCTCTGGTCTCTCTCTGGTCTCTCCCTGGTCTCTCTCTGGTCTCTCTCTGGTCTCGCTCTGGTCTCGCTCTGGTCTCTCTCTGGTCTCTCTCTGGTCTCTCTCCGGTCTCACTCTGGTCTCCCTCTGGTCTCCCTCTGGTCTCCCTCTGGTCTCCCTCTGGTCTCCCTCTGGTCCCTGGTCTCTCTCTGGTCTCTCTCTGGTCTCTCCTCCGGTCTCCCTCTGGTCTCCCTCTGGTCTCCCTCTGGTCTCCCTCTGGTCCCTGGTCTCTCTCTGGTCTCTCTCTGGTCTCTCTCTCTGGTCTCTCTCTGGTCTCTCTCTCTGGTCTCTCTCTGGTCTCTCTCTGGTCTCTCTCTGGTCTCTCCCTCTGGTCTCCCTTTGGTCTCTCTCTGGTCTCCCTCTGGTCTCCCTCTGGTCCCTGGTCTCCCTCTGGTCTCCCTCTGGTCCCTGGTCTCCCTCTGGTCTCCCTCTGGTCCCTCCCTGGTCTCACTCTGGTCCCTCCCTCAGGTGAACTATGGTAAAGTGTTTAACGACAGCCGTAAGCGTGTGCAGCTGTGTGTGTCTCGCGGCTGTAGTCCAGAGCTGGTCTTCGTACCATGTGGGAGCGCGGTGGGCGTCTATGGTCTTCACTCTGGACAGATGCTCACGGCTCTGAGGGGACACTACAACAATGTGGACTGCTGCGACTACCACCCCGACCACCAGGTGAGGGGGGGGGGGGGGAGGGAGGGAGGGAGGGGGGAGAGAGGAGGTTGCAGAGGCTACAGGAGGAGAGAGAGGAGAGGGAGGGAGGGGGAGTAGAGAGAGGGCAGGGATTAGAGAGGAGGGAGGGGGAGGAGAGAGAGAGGAGAGGAGAGGGAGGGAGGGAGGGAGGGAGGGGGGAGAGAGGAGGTTGCAGAGGCTACAGGAGGAGAGAGAGGAGAGGGAGGGAGGGAGGGGAGGAGAGAGGACGTTACAGAGGCTACACAAGGAGAGGGGAGTGAGGAGAGAGAGAGAAGAGGGAGGGGAGGAGAGAGGAGGGAGAGGGGAGGGGAGGAGAGAGGAGGGAGAGGCTATAGGAGGAGAGACAGAGAGAGAAAATGGAGGGGGAGGAGAGAGGACGTTATAAAAGATACAAGAGGAGAAAGAGAAGAGGGAGAGGAGAGAGAGGAGAGGAGAGAGAGGAGAGAGGAGGGAGAGGAGAGAAGGGAGAGGAGGGAGAGGAGGGTGAGGAGAGAGAGGGGAGAGGAGAAGAGAGAGAGGGGAGAGGAGGAGGGAGGAGGGGAAGGAGGAGGAACTGTTGACACTTCCACTCAGACCAACGGTTAAGTGCAATAAAAGCAAACTGCTTTTTAGGCCGTTGTTTACATATGAGAGAAGAGGGTCTCTGGTCTCTCTCTGGTCTCTCTGGTCTCTCTCTGGTCTCTCTAGTCTCTCTGGTCTCTCTCTAGTCTCTCTCTCTGGTCTCTCTGGTCTCTCTCTGGTCTCTCTAGTCTCTCTCTCTGGTCTCTCTGGTCTCTCTCTGGTCTCTCTAGTCTCTCTCTCTGATCTCTCTGGTCTCTCTCTAGTCTCTCTCTCTGGTCTCTCTCTGGTCTCTCTCTGGTCTCTCTCTGGTCTCTCTGTGGTCTCTCTCTGGTCTCTCTGTGGTCTCTCTCTGGTCTTTCTGTGGTCTCTCTCTGGTCTCTCTCTGGTCTCTCTCTGGTGTGGTCTCTCTCTGGTCTCTCTCTCTGGTCTCTCTCTGGTCTCTCTCTGGTCTTTCTGTGGTCTCTCTCTGGTCTCTCTCTGGTCTCTGGTCTTTCTGTGGTCTCTCTCCCTCTGGTCTCTCTCTCTCCTCCCCCCCCCCCTTTCCTCCTCTTCCCCTTCCTTCTCCTCCTCCCTCCTCCTCCCCTCCCCTCCCCTTCCTCCTCCTCCTCCCTTGGTGCAAAACCAGTAAACCTGCTTCTGTATCCGGAGGTTGATGGTTTACAAAGTCAGTTCTTTGTAGTTGTTGATGTAAGTGAAAGGTTAGACTCAGAATGTGGAGGAGCAGCTTTAGAGAGAGACCAGAGGGAGACCAGAGAGAGACCAGAGGGAGACCAGAGGGAGACCAGAGGGAGACCAGAGGGAGACCAGAGAGAGACCAGAGGGAGACCAGAGGGAGACCAGAGGGAGACCAGAGGGAGACCAGAGGGAGACCAGAGGGAGACCAGAGAGAGACCAGAGGGAGACCAGAGGGAGACCAGAGAGAGACCAGAGAGAGACCAGAGAGAGACCAGAGAGAGACCAGAGAGAGACCAGAGAGAGACCAGAGAGAGACCAGAGAGAGACCAGAGAGAGACCAGAGGGAGACCAGAGGGAGACCAGAGGGAGACCAGAGAGAGACCAGAGAGAGGAGAGGAATTTCTGACCTCATCATAATTTGAACAAAGGAAAAACTTGTTTACAAAGCTCACTCACTTTCATTCATATCCTCTGAACACACACACACACACACACACACAAACAAGCGTGCGCACGTGCACACGTGCACACACACACTCTGAGGTATGGTGTCGTACGAGAGATTGTGCCAGTTGTATTTCTGTCATTTGCTCATAAGTCAGAGTGTGTTTCATTCATAAATCCATACCAGAGAGAGACCAGGGAGAGACCAGAGAGAGACCAGAGAGAGACCAGAGCGAGGCCAGAGAGAGGCCAGAGAGAGACCAGAGAGAGACCAGGGAAAGACCAGAGAGAGACCACAGAGAGACCAGAAAGAGACCAGGGAAAGACCAGAGAGAGACCAGAGAGAGACCAGAGAGAGACCAGAGAGAGACCAGGGAAAGACCAGAGAGAGACCAGAGAGAGACCAGAGAGAGACCAGAAAGAGACCAGGGAAAGACCAGGGAAAGACCAGAGAGAGACCAGAGAGAGACCAGAGAGAGACCAGAGAGAGACCAGAGAGAGAGACCAGAGAGAGAGACCAGAGAGAGACCAGAGAGAGAGACCAGAGAGAGACTAGAGAGAGACCAGAGAGAGACCAGAGAGAGAGACCAGAGAGAGAGACCAGAGAGAGAGACCAGAGAGAGAGACCAGAGAGAGACCAGAGAGAGACCAGAGAGAGACCAGAGAGAGACCAGAGAGAGAGACCAGAGAGAGACCAGAGAGAGACCAGAGAGTATCACATTATTACTGCTACTAAAGTTTTGCAAAATAGTCACATTTTCTACGAGGACGCCTGGTCCCTCTCTTTTGTTGTCATGTGATTTACCTGTGTGTGTGTGTGTGTGTGTGTGTGTGTGTGTGTGTGTCTGTGTTGTGTGTTGGTGTGTGTTGTGTAGGAGTTGTACAGCGGCGGCAAAGACTGCAACATTCTGGCCTGGGTTCCAGCTCTGCGAGAACCAGACGTGGAAGAGGAGACAGAGAGCTCCAAGAAGGTAAGTCCAAAAGCACCAGGACCTCACAGCAAGAGGGTCCAGAGAGAGACTAAGGAGAGACCAGAAAGAGACCAAGGAGAGAGACCAAGGAGAGAGACCAAGGAGAGAGACCAGGGAGAGAGATCAAAGACAAAGACCAGGAATTAGTGACATGGATGTTATACTAGCGTTGTTTTGTTGTGGTCTGAAAGTTACAGACTCCAGCTTTAAATGTGTGTCACTGAAGCTAAGGTTAAGTTCATGGTTTGGCTCCTTCAGGAAATACTAAGAAGATAAAGAACCAATCAGAGACAACAGGTCTGGTCTCTCTCTGGTCTCTCCCTCTGGTCTCTCTCTGGTCTCTCTGGTCTCTCTCTGGTCTCTCTCCGGTCTCTCTCTGGTCTCTCTCTCTGGTCTCTCTCTGGTCTCTCTCTGGTCTCTCTCTGGTCTCTCTCTGGTCTCTCTCTGGTTTCTCTCGTTGTACTGAGTAGAATCAGTGATGATTGTTGTAATACCATGTGTTTGTGATCTTTGTCTCTCGGCAGTGGTATGTGCGTTACGAGAGCACATACTTCACATACAAACTCAGTGACTGCAAAGACACTCCCTCTGAGGTCATCACTGAACCAGCTGTGACTGTATGGTACTAGACCATGAGGCAGGTTCTACTACACCAAGGGTCGGCAACCCGCGGCTCTTGAGTGCTCCTGGAGTGGCTCCTGGAGCCTTTTCAAAAATGTCTGAAAATGGAGTGTGAGGGCAATATTTCATTTCTAGTTTGAATGTGGTTTCTGTAGAAGGAAAAAACAATATTTACGTTTTTAAATGCTGTAAAAATATGTATAAGTAATATCTAATTTCAACATTTCTGTCAACGTAGTGCGTCATATCCTATGACGCGCGGTCACGCGGCCCCGCCCCATGCGGCCGCTGCTGTAAACAAACCATGGATGTATTATATTAACTGGATAGGGTATTACAGCTTGTAGCTGAATAACTCACGTGCTCAGGGGATTCTCGCGGTACTGCAGACTGAACCAGGCTAAATTCACGTGGGCTACCCAGAAATGTTCCCCATAGAACTCAATGCATATTAAAACAGCTCGACCTCAGCTGACAGAAAACCTGACAGAGAACCTGACAGAGAACCTACAGCTTTCATAAAGATCGGATTTTGTGGGGATTTTAGTGTCCCTTGTCATCCTGAACTTTTTTTCTTCTTAAATCCTTCGGTTTTGTTTAAATCCACACTTTAGTGCCACAAACTCTGCTCGTCTGGCTCTCGCTCTAACTCCCGCTCTGATGAACTGCTCTGATTGGTCAGAGCGCGGCCGAGCCCCTCTGTGCACGTGCGTGAGACCCTCTGTGCACGTGCGTGAGACCCGGTGTGAGACCCACACACGCGTGTTTAGTGCAACGCATTATGGGAGATAATACACTGCGCAGAACCGGGAGGACCAGACGATGCCCAAATACAGGCGAGTTTCCCAAAGATCTTTGCGAGTTTCAGGCAACTTCCGCTAATCTTTCAGCCCCCATGCCGTCACAAAGCGCCACTGAGCACAACCATTCATTTGAATAGGGCGCCATCTTGGATCGCCGGGGCTTGAAACAAACCGGCGTGTGAGCATCATAGACTGTGCACATGGATCCCAAAGCTAAAGAGTCGATAACAAGACTGGACTAAAAATGAGAATGAACATTTTCTTTCAGTCAATGAGGAAGGACTGCTTCATGTTTGTAATGAAAAGTTTTGTTGCAACACGAGGAACAATGACGCTCAAAAACACCGTACACGGGGATTACGTGAAGGATTCATTCATCAAAAATTCAGAGCACCTATTTTCAGACTTCAAAACCTTCTCAAAGACGGTGAAAGAAAAGGCCATTAAGGATTTTAATTCAGCTCCAGCAAACTTCAGCCTGTGACGTGATGGATATGAGCAGACAGTGATGCAGGTATGTGACCTCTGAGCCCAAAGCAGATTTATTTACTGTATTTCTACAATTGCATGAAGGCAAAAAAATGGAAGTTAAACTAAAGCAGAGTTGTCCCGTGTTGCGTCATTCACGACACGCTGCAGTGAAAACACACATTTGATAATCATGAATGATTATTATGTATTTGTAGCCTTTACTTTGTCATTTAGATATTAGGCTAATATAACTAATACATCTTGCAGCCTGTGTTACCTTCATAAAAGCCTTATACAAGGCTGTTATTTTTTTGCGGCTCCAGACAGATGTGGTTTTTAGTTTTTTTGTCAATTATGGCTCTTTGAACATTTTGGGTTCCCGACCCCTGTACTGCACCATGAAGCAGGTTCTGTCATGACTTCTATAATAAACAAGAAACTCTCATCAAAACCAACAACAAAAACTGTTTGTTGAAGGGCTAATGCTAAAAAGGCTAATGCTAAAAAGGCTAATGCTAAAAAGGCTAATGCTAAAAAGGCTAATGCTAAAAAGGCTAGTGCTAAAAAGGCTAGTGCTAAAAAGGCTAGTGCTAAAAAGGCTAATGCTAAAAAGGCTAATGCTAAAAAGGCTAATGCTAAAAAGGCTAATGCTAAAAAGGCTAGTGCTAAAAAGGCTAGTGCTAAAAAGGCTAGTGCTAAAAAGGCTAGTGCTAAAAAGGCTAATGCTAAAAAGGCTAATGCTAAAAAGGCTAATGCTAAAAAGGCTAATGCTAAAAAGGCTAGTGCTAAAAAGGCTAGTGCTAAAAAGGCTAATGCTAAAAAGGCTAATGCTAAAAAGGCTAATGCTAAAAAGGCTAGTGCTAAAAAGGCTAATGCTAAAAAGGCTAATGCTAAAAAGGCTAGTGCTAAAAAGGCTAGTGCTAAAAAGGCTAGTGCTAAAAAGGCTAATGCTAAAAAGGCTAATGCTAAAAAGGCTAATTCTAAAAAGCCATTGCAAGTAATGAACTTGTGGCAATAGTAACATGCTCTTCTCTTGTGGAATACCAAGCTGACTCTTCACAAAGCCAGGACCAGTTCGAGACCAGCACCTTGAAAACGAGGCTTTACCAGTAGTAGAATGATGGTTGCCAAGAGACCAAAGATGGCTGCAGGAGAGTTTTAGGTTCAAGATTATTTGGTCCAATCAGGAAGCTGTCTGTCCAACTCAGGCCTGCGGGCCAATCACGGCCTTCTGCGTTATGATCTGTGGCCTTCTGCTGCTAGCAAATTAGTTTTTAAGAAACACAAGTCCACAGTGTCATCCAGCCAACTCCAGAAACATAGTCGGACCCCAAAAGATTTGTAATGAATCCTTATGTGATTTTCCACAGAATTCTGCTGCCACTGTGTCCAACCCGGCTTTCCAAGACGCCTGGAGCAGTGACGAGGACTGAGGCCTGAGTGCTCTAGTCCTGGTTCAGTCCTGGAGCTTCACCCGGTCTGGTCCAAGCCCCTGGTCACTCTAAGATGGCTGCCCGGTCTCTCCAAGATGGCTGCCCCCGGTCTGTTCAAGATGTCTGCCCCCGGTCTTTCCAAGATGTCTGCCCCCGGTCTTTCCAAGATGTCTGCCCCCGGTCTTTCCAAGATGTCTGCCCCCGGTCTTTCCAAGATGTCTGCCCCCGGTCTCTCCAAGATGTCTGCCCATTCAGATCCATGGCCCGACAGCTGACCTGGTCCTGGTCTTGGTCCTGGTCTTGGTTTTGCAGACAAAACTGATGTCTCTCCAGACTCTCTGTGTGGAATTTGCATGTTCTCCCTGTGTCTGGCTGCTTGCCGGTGATACAAACACTGTACTATTTCTAGACAGAAAACTCAAAAACCAGCTTCAAAACCAGAAACACAGCTGCACAGAGTGGTGTACACATGGTTCCACTGCTGCTAACTGGTTTTACAAGAGGAGATAACGGACAATAATCACAAGTTTTTCTACTTTATGATCCAATAAAAATGTAAAATCTCCTAAACGTCACATGTTTGATTCTGTATAATCATTAACCAGCCACAAGAGGAACTGCTGGTATACCATGGGACACACCAGGAGTCTGTACAGAGGAGCCTGGAGCCACATTGGAAGAGAGAACAGAGAGAAGAGCGAGAGACCAGAGAGAGACTAGCGGGAGGAGAGAGACCAGAGAGAGACCAAAGAGAGACCAGAGGGAGGAGAGAGACCAGAGAGAGACCAGAGAGAGACCAGAGAGAGACTAGAGAGAGACCAGAGAGAGACCAGAGAGAGACCAGAGAGAGACCAGAGAGAGACCAGAGGGAGGAGAGAGACCAGAGAGAGACCAGAGAGAGAGAGAGACCAGAGAGAGACCAAAGAGAGACCAGAGGGAGGAGAGAGACCAGAGAGAGACCAGAGAGAGGAGAGAGACCAAAGAGAGAGAGGGAGGAGAGAGTGAGACCAGAGGGAGGAGAGAGACCAGAGAGAGACCAGAGAGAGACCAGAGAGAGAGACCAGAGAGAGACCAGAGAGAGAGACCAGAGAGAGACCAGAGAGAGACCAGAGAGAGACCAGAGAGAGACTAGAGAGAGACCAGAGAGAGAGACCAGAGAGAGACTAGAGAGAGACCAGAGAGAGAGACCAGAGAGAGACCAGAGGGAGGAGAGAGACCAAAGAGAGACCAGAGAGAGACCAAAGAGAGACCAGAGAGAGACCAGAGAGAGACTAGAGAGAGACCAGAGGGAGGAGAGAGACCAGAGAGAGACCAGAGAGAGATAGACTAGAGAGAGAGTGGAAAGAGTGACCAGGGAGAGGGACTATGAGAAAGACCAGAAATCACCAACTGGTCTGTGATAAAAAGCTTCCAAAAAAGCTAAAATGTTTTGGTGAGATCATGGAGTTAAACGTTGCTCTTTCAGGATCAAACTGAAGTAAAGTCTCTGTTACTGTCTTTGTTATTATTATTATTATTATTATTAGACGTTCTTCAGGATCCAAAAGAGCGGATTGTAAAACCTGCAGCAGATACTGAGAGTTCTGTGGTGAAAGTCCGTCATTAACATTTGTTCAAAGCAGCAGTGAAACCAGACCAGACCAGACCAGACCAGAGAGAGACCAGACGGAGACACAGGGCCTTGTAAAAGTATTCATACCCAGGGCTTTATAGTGTCAAAGGTTCAATGTGTTTTAGTAGATTAGATAGAGAGATAGAGAGAGACCAGAGAGACCAGAGAGAGACCAGAGAGAGACCAGAGAGAGAGAGAGAGACCAGAGAGACCAGAGACCAGAGAGACCAGCGAGAGACCAGAGAAAGACCAGAGAGACCAGAGAGAGACCAGAGAGACCAGAGAGAGACCAGAGAGAGACCAGAGAGAGACCAGAGAGGGACCAGAGAGACCAGAGAGAGACCAGAGAGAGACCAGAGAGACCAGAGAGAGACCAGAGAGACCAGAGAGAGACCAGAGAGAGACCAGAGAGAGAGAGAGAGAGAGAGACCAGAGAGACCAGAGAGACCAGAGAGAGACCAGAGAGACCAGAGAGAGACCAGAGAGACCAGAGAGAGACCAGAGAGAGACCAGAGAGACCAGAGAGAGACCAGAGAGAGACCAGAGAGACCAGAGAGAGACCAGAGAGAGACCAGAGAGAGACCAGAGAGACCAGAGAGACCAGAGAGAGACCAGAGAGAGACCAGAGAGAGACCAGAGAGACCAGAGAGAGACCAGAGAGACCAGAGAGAGACCAGAGAGAGACCAGAGAGACCAGAGAGAGAGAGAGAGACCAGAGAGACCAGAGACCAGAGAGACCAGAGAGAGACCAGAGAGAGACCAGAGAGAGACCAGAGAGAGAGAGAGAGACCAGAGAGACCAGAGACCAGAGAGACCAGAGAGAGACCAGAGAAAGACCAGCGAGAGACCAGAGAGAGACCAGAGAGACCAGAGAGAGACCAGAGAGAGACCAGAGAGAGACCAGAGAGAGACCAGAGAGAGAGAGACCAGAGAGAGACCAGAGAGACCAGAGAGAGACCAGAGAGAGACCAGAGAGAGACCAGAGAGAGACCAGAGAGAGACCAGAGAGAGACCAGAGAGACCAGAGAGAGACCAGAGAGAGACCAGAGAGAGACCAGAGAGAGACCAGAGAGACCAGAGAGAGACCAGAGAGAGACCAGAGAGAGACCAGAGAGACCAGAGAGAGACCAGAGAGAGACCAGAAAGAGAGAGAGAGAGACCAGAGAGAGACCAGAGAGAGACCAGAGAGACCAGAGAGAGACCAGAGAGAGACCAGAGAGAGACCATAGAGAGAGAGAGAGAGACCAGAGAGAGACCAGAGAGAGACCAGAGAGAGACCAGAGAGAGACCAGAGAGAGAGACCAGAGAGAGACCAGAGAGAGACCAGAGAGAGACCAGAGAGAGAGAGAGACCAGAGAGAGACCAGAGAGAGACCAGAGAGAGACCATAGAGAGAGAGAGAGAGAGACCAGAGAGACCAGAGAGACCCAGAGAGACAAGAGACCAGAAAAGAGAAGAGACCAGAGAGACCAGAGAGAGACGAGAGAGACCAGAGAGAGAGAGAAGACCAGAGAGAGACCAGAGAGAGACCAGAGAGAGACCAGAGAGAGAGACAAGACACCAGAGAGAGACCAGAGAGAGACCAGAGAGACCAGAGAGAGAGAGAGAGAGATGAGGAGACCAGAGAGAGACCAGAGAGAGAGACCAGAGAGAGAGAGACCAGAGAGACCAGAGAGAGACCAGAGAGAGACCAGAGAGACCAGAGAGAGACCAGAGAGAGACCAGAGAGAGAGACCAGAGAGAGACCAGAGAACCAGAGAGGACCAGAGAGGAGAGACCAGAGAGAGACAGAGAGAGACCAGAGAGAGAGACCAGAGAGAGAGACCAGAGAGAGAGACCAGAGAGAGACCAGAGAGAGAGAGACCAGAGAGAGAGACCAGAGAGAGAGAGAGAGAGACCAGAGAGAGAGACCAGAGAGAGACCAGAGAGAGAGAGAGAGACCAGAGAGACAGACCAGAGAGAGAGACCAGAGAGAGAGACCAGAGAGACCAGAGACCAGAGAGAGACCAGAGAGAGACCAGAGAGAGACCAGAGAGAGAGAGAGAGACCAGAGAGAGAAGAGAGACCAGAGAGAGAGACCAGAGAGAGACCAGAGAGACCAGAGACCAGAGAGAGAGACCAGAGAGAGAGAGAGAGAGACCAGAGAGAGAGACCAGAGGAGACAGAGAGAGAGACCAGAGAGACCAGAGAGAGAGAGAGAGAGAGAGAGAGACCAGAGAGACCAGAGAGACCAGAGAGAGAGAGACCCAGAGAGACCAGAGAGAGACCAGAGAGAGACCAGAGAGAGAGACCAGAGAGAGACCAGAGAGAGACCAGAGAGACCAGAGAGACCAGAGAGAGAGAGGACCAGAGAGAGAGACCAGAGAGAGAGACCAGAGAGAGAGAGACCAGAGAGAGACCAGAGAGAGAGACCAGAGAGACCAGAGAGAGAGAGACCAGAGAGACCAGAGAGAGACCAGAGAGAGAGACCAGAGAGACCAGAGAGAGACCAGAGAGAGACCAGAGAGACCGAGAGAGAGAGAGAGACCAGAGAGAGAGAGAGACCAGAGACCAGAGAGAGACCAGAGAGAGACCAGAGAGAGAGACCAAGAGGACCAGAGAGACCAGAGAGAGACCAGAAAGAGACCAGAGAGAGAGACCAGAGAGAGACCAGAGAGAGACCAGAGAGAGAGAGAGAGAGAGACCAGAGAGAGACCAGAGAGACCAGAGAGAGACCAGAGAGAGACCAGAGAGACCAGAGAGAGACCAGAGAGAGAGACCAGAGAGAGACCAGAGAGACCAGAGAGAGACCAGAGAGAGACCAGAGAGACCAGAGAGAGACCAGAGAGAGACCAGAGAGAGAGACCAGAGAGAGAGAGAGAGACCAGAGAGACCAGAGAGAGACCAGAGAGAGAGAGAGAGAGACCAGAGAGAGACCAGAGAGACCAGAGAGAGACCAGAGAGAGACCAGAGAGAGAGAGAGAGAGACCAGAGAGACCAGAGAGAGACCAGAGAGAGAGAGAGAGACCTGAGAGACCAGAGAGAGACCAGCGAGAGACCATAACGCAGCTTTAAATGAGTCTGTGTCTCCAGTGAATCAGGGCCAAAAGTAGAAAGTGACAGATAGAGAGAGAGACCAGAGAGAGAGAGACCAGAGAGAGAGAGACCAGAGAGAGACCAGAGAGAGACCAGAGAGAGAGACCAGAGAGACCAGAGAGAGACCAGAGAGAGACCAGAGAGAGACCAGAGAGAGACCAGAGAGAGAGAGAGAGAGAGACCAGAGAGACCAGAGAGACCAGAGAGAGACCAGAGAGAGACCAGAGAGAGACCAGAGAGAGACCAGAGAGACCAGAGAGAGACCAGAGAGAGACCAGAGAGAGACCAGAGACACCAGAGAGAGACCAGAGAGAGACCAGAGAGAGACCAGAGAGAGAGAGAGAGAGAGAGACCAGAGAGACCAGAGAGACCAGAGAGAGACCAGAGAGACCAGAGAGAGACCAGAGAGACCAGAGAGAGACCAGAGAGAGACCAGAGAGACCAGAGAGAGACCAGAGAGAGACCAGAGAGACCAGAGAGAGACCAGAGAGAGACCAGAGAGAGACCAGAGAGACCAGAGAGACCAGAGAGAGA